TAGTTAATAATCAGAGAGCTTAAATAGGTAATCTTCTAGTTAGGTTGCAGGTATGGCAGCTAGTGTAGAACCCAGGCAGACTACTTAAATTAGGTATTAAAAGTACACATGTGGCTAGTTGTATCCTTATAAAATTGATGTAATACCGTATTTATCTGAATAAAGCTTAGTACCGGGGGCCTAAGTGGTCACCTTAATATTAAAAAAAAAAAAAAAAAAAAGTATCTGATTTTGCATTTCTTTCTTTCTCGTGTTTTTCTCACCAATATTACTTTAACACTTTTTTATTTCTTCCTGTTAACTTTTTCTTCTTTCTATTTACTAGCAATATTTTAACAAGTAAATATTCTTTTGCATAACTTTTTTTCATTTCTCTCGTTACCTTTCTTCCTTTAATTAACAAGTAAATATTCTTCCGCATAGCCGTTTTTTCATTTTTCCCCAATGACTTTCTCTCTTTTCTTCTCTCTGCCATTCTCAATAGAGGTAGATATTTCTTTCGCTATTCGAACAGTTCTTTTTATATTCAAATTATTTAATTTTTTTTTTAATATTTCTATCAGCTTTCCAATACAGGTGTGCACTTCTTTTGATAATTACATTTTCTTTGAGATTCCTATTCGAAAGAATATAGGGATATCGGATTTATTAATTTTACTTTCTTATTAGCGTTTCTAAATATAGGTAAATATTTATTCAATATTCGTCACTTTTTTTTTTTTGAAGATTATTTAAAGAATATAGAAGTATCAGATTTTCTACCTTCTTTCTCTTACCGATATTTTTAATATAGGTAATATTTTTAAAAAATAATGATACCTTAGATTGTTTAAAATTTATTCGCATTCGGTTTTTTTTTTTAGTTTTGAAATTTTGGAAATTTTGGTCTTTTTTTATCTGATAACCATATCATGGTACGAAAATTAACTCTTTTTCATTTTGAACCTTTTTTAAAATCACGCCAAATAATAAATTCAAGAAAAAATCATCATTCACGCTTTCATTCAAACTTCTATTCATCGAATTCTCACTCTCCTTCTCCTCATTCCTGCACAAACCGCTCTCATCATCATACACATCGGTCTCGTTCTCATACATGTCGGTCTTGTTCTCATACATGTCGGTCTCATTCTCATACTCATCGGTCTTGTTCTCATACTCATCGATCTCATTCTCATACTCATCGGTTTCATGATTACCATTCTCACTCATCTTCTTGTGGAAAGTCACATGAACATGATAGGTTAAGGGATGTTGAAGATATGATACGTTTTTTATTATAATAATAAGAGTGATATAGATATCGGCTACACAATATTAATTTAAATCTTATCATATAACAATTTTAGAAAGTAGGGCATTAAAAGAAGGTAAGCAATAATTTTTTTGATTTTTATAATATGAATATCAGCTAATGATTATTGCTAATATTTAGAAAATTCAGCTTTGAGATCCCAAGTCGCTTTGCTTAAAGAAAGACTAGAACATCTTGAGAGGACTCAATCTAATGTTTCGCAGTCATCTGCTATAGCAGACCTCCTGATCCACGTAAACATTGCCGATAATGATATTAATATCAATGAATATAATGATAAAGGTCATAAAGATAAGGGAAGAGAAAATCCATTCTCACCTGGCAAGTCGTATAATCCAACTCAAACAAGGTTTAAGCATAGACAATTAGTGCTGATGGATGCTAAATATAAAAAAGCATTTAGAGTTTTTTTTTTATAATATTAATATTAGATTACGTAATATACTATATATATATATTTTAATATACATTTTTATTTTATTGATACAGAAAGAGGTACTTCGGGCAGCCAAACAATTGGCTCACAAAAATCCCTGCCTGTCAGTAAACAAGAACAAAAGCTGGCTCCATCAGAGAGACTTTGTTGAACTTACTATCCTTTTTACTCTTAAGAAACGTATTAATAAAAGCCTTAAATATCTTGATGAAGAAGTAGTTCGAGTGTTTAAGACTAACCATAAAAGCCATACATCAACAGTAAAAATTAAGGCAAATGCTGACAAATAGAAAGCGAATAAAAGTCGTGCCAATAAGAATTCGTGCATGCAGGATGTATGTATTTTTTTATTTTTTATTTTATTGATTATTATAGTATAAGATATATTTGTCCGATATATATATATTCGTCCGATATTATTTATTTTTTATTTATTTTTTTTTTTTATATTATATATATATATATTTTTTATTTTTTTAAAAAAAAAGCAGAGGATGGATGGGCTTCAACATTTGATTCACATAAAAGACTCTATTATCAAGAAATACCGGCCAAGTTCAGTTCGTAAAAATGAGTGGAAAGATGAACTTGCTGAAGTAGTAGTCAGAACGGCATACCACTCTGACGAAATCTCTGAGACAGATGAAGAACTTGCAGAGTATAAAAGAACTATTAATAAATGATATAACAAAGGTGGTAAAGATAATTAGATTTATATTAATGATTATGTTATTAAGGTGCAAAATCCAATATAAAGATCTGAAAGGGTAAGTTGATTAATTTTTTTTTATTTTAATGGTTACTATACTCGTATCAGACTAATTTTTTTAAAACAGTGTAAGAAAATTTTATATTGGGCTGAAAAAATAGCGTTAATGAATCAATCAAATAAACCTGTAAGGTATTAATATTATAATAATGAATGGATAGATCTATCAAAACCTCCACTCGATGCTCCTTTTTGGACTATTTTCTCATCTTACGATTCTAATAAATATAGCAAACATAACAATAACAATAAAAAATCAAGGCCTGGTAATAATAAGTTTGCTACCGATTTCGAATCAAGTGATGATTCTGGGTCCAATAACAATTCTGGGTCCATTAACAAATCTGGGTCCAACAATAATAACAATTCTGAGTCCAACGACAATTCTGGGTTCACTAACGGTAACAATTCTGGGTTCAACAACAATTCTGGGTCCAACAACAATTCTGGGTCCAACAACAATTCTGGGTCTAACAAATATTCTGGGTCTAACAACGACAACAATTCTGGGTCCAATGACAATTCTGGGTCCAACAATGACAATTCTGGAAACAATTCTAGGTCCAACAATGATAATTTTGGGTCCAATAATGATAATTCTGGGTCCAACAACAACAATTCTGGATCTGATAACACCAATTCTGGGTCCAACAAGAATGATTCTGGGTCCAACAATGCTGGGTCTAACAATAATTCTGGGTCCAACAAAAAAGCTGGAACCAATGATTCTAGCCTTAAAAATGAACGAAGGTATGTATTATTTAGAAAATATATACACTTGATATTTAAAAGGTTAATTGTTATGTTTTATTAAAATTTTTCTATGTTTAACAATTTAAATTAAAGTAATTCTGAGTCTACTAGCAAATCAAAAAAAAGATCTGCATTGAAAGAATCTAGAAATGAAAGAACTTCCAAATCAAGTCATTGCGAGTATGATATTTCATTCAGAAATACTATATGAAAATCAACTCGAACTAAATCTTCTTCCAAGCGTCAACGGAATCGTAATGTGCCTAGTAATAAATTTGGTATTCGTAGCAGTGAAGATGAGGAGGATGGGGATTATGTTGAGTGATGTTAGTTTAGTTAAATTTAAAAACCATATATATTGTAGAGTATATAGTTTTTAGTTGTAAATTAAAAATGTATAATAAAATGAAAAATTTATATTGCTTTCGATGATATCCAAATTTAATAAGCCGAAACTTTACTAATATCTTATAAATATCAGAGAAATAAATATCAATATTAGCTTTAAATATCCAAGCCGAAATTTGTATATAATAGGAATCTGCAAATATCATACAAATATTAACAAAGCTAATATTAGTATCGGATAGCAGATATTTATATATTTATTTAATATAGTAAATATCATACAAATATTAACGAAGTTAATTTTAATATCGGACAGCTGGTATTCCTATATTCATTTCATATAATAAATAACATAAAAATATTAATAAAGTTAGTTCCGGTATCGGATAGCTGATATTTCTATATTTATTTTTTATATAGTAAATATCATACAAATATTAACGAAGTTAATTCCAGTATCTTTGCTTGCCAATACTCCTATAGTCATTTTTATATAGACGTATAAAGCTATTGATACATGCTACGCTGATAGGTTACAGATACGCACCACATATGAGTGAGCTATTAGCTGATATATATCAGACAGTTTCTGCTAGATTTATATTACCTATCATAGGCCTATCGGCTAGCTG